ATTTTTTTGATTTATTGTAGAGATGAGGTCTCGCCAAGTTGCTCAGGCAGGTCTCGAACCCGCGGGCCCAGGCAATCCACTCATCTCAGCCTCCCAAAGCGCTGGGATTACAGGCTGAGCCACCGAGCCCAGCTTCCTCCTCCAATTAAAGGTAAGATGAGGTCCCAGGGCTTCAGTCTTCTCTGGCTACACCAGCGGAAAAGGAGGCAGAGGCCCCCTGACCATTTGAGGTCCCAATTCCTCTGCATGTCCACTGCCCACTAGGGTTTGACCCTCCCAGAAGGCATCCAGGGTCTTCAGGCAACAGACGAGGGTACACAGGGAGGCAGAGGGCTGGGGCAGTGCTGGTACTAAGGCCAAGAGGGCAGGCACAGCATGTTCTAGGACCTGTGCAGGCTCCTGGCTGCCACATGATGCTCACCAGGGAGGGCTGTCTTCTGTGTCAAGGAGATGAGGCGTTTGGACGAAAAACTCCCAGACCAAGGCCTACCACTGTCGTCTGTCCCTGCCCAGCCTGAGGTGCCAGCCATACTGAAATGGCCCCACGAGTTCTCCACTCTAGCCTGTCATCCAGGGCTGACTTCAAGTCAGTTGTCTGCCAACACAGCTAGGGCATGGGATTCCACATAGGGGTGTGTGGAAGGGGCACAAAATGGTGGTCTGCAAGCCCTCTCCCCCAGCATCACCCCAGGGTGGAGACAGGCTGCAACCCAGGCTGGCTGATGCTCCAAGGAGAACCCTGGAGCGCTGGCTGATCTGTGGGCACATACCGACCTCCTCTGACATTCACCCTCCCAGGGAACATGAAAACCAGCCTCCGGGTCACAGGAAGCTGATCTGCCAGGTGGGGGGTGTTTGAAGAGCTGGTACCCGAAGGCCCCACAGCCCCAGGCTGCTGGAAACTGGGCAGGGAATGACCCTTCCAGGAGACCTCATATTCAAGGGCCTAATATGCCCTCCCAAGCCAGGGACTCCTACCAACAGCTCCCTCAAGGGTCTTGCTGCAGGGATCCCAGCCCTCCTGGTTCTGGGCCAGGACTTAGCCATGAGACTTCAGGGCCTGGACTCTTGCCAGGTCAGCCCTGCACTCTCAGCGCCCCTCTGCCTGCACTCAACCAGCTCGGAGCCATCCTGGAGGGAGAGTCATGCACCTCACGCACAGTGTCCCAAAGACCCCGCCGCCACAGCCTGCTCCTCCAGGGCTTCTCCCCAGACCTCACCCTCCTCAGGGACCCCCAGGGGCCCCTAAGCATGCTCCCCTTAGGTCCCTGGGCCCATGACCCTCACCTTCCTGGTCCTCAGGTCTGCACAGGAGGGCAGGCCTTGTCCCCTAGGTTCTATGCTGTGGCCTGGGCCCTGGAGCCTGGGACCTGTTATCTAACTGACTTCCTTGGAGGGACGAGTCTTGGCCCTGCCTTTGTGGCCCAGGCAGGAGGCGGGGCAGGAAGAAAGGCAATTCCTTTCCTTCCTGGACTCTTCACACATCAGGAGGCCTGAGCTATGGCTGAAGACCAAGGAAACAGCACCACAGGGCCAGCAAGGGGTGGCAGAGGGCAAGAGGGTGCTGTACCCAGGGAAGCTCCCTTTGGAGTTCCCTTTCTTCCTTCCCCCACTACCCCAATTGTGCAAGCAAATAACCAGCGGATCAGCCCCTCCCCTGCTTAAGCCAGAGGACCAGGGCTCCTCCCCACTCCCCACCTGCAGAGGTGCACTGGGGGAGGGCACCAGGGGCTTTTTCTGGAGAGGGGTCCAGCGGGCCTAGGGTCTGTCCTAGGCCTGATCCTGGCTGGCTAAGCCTGGCCCAGACCCTCTACCCCTTCTAGTGTCTACCCCCTCTCTACTGACCCACACAGTTCCCAGCGCCACACAGTTCCCAGCGCATGCCTAGTACCCTGCAGGCTCCCCTGTGTCAGCAGCTCTCATTAGTCCTGTAGGGCCCAGTGGGGTGGAAACATTGGTCTCATTTGCCAGTTTGAACGCTTGGGCTCTGGGCAAGACACCTGCTCAGAGTAGCGAGAGTCACAGCAGTGGCTGGGACCCCCAGTCTCGCCCCCCAAGGATGACTGGGCTCAAGCCCACCTCCTGTGGCGAGGAGGAGACTGCAGGCAGGCTTCAACCCTTAGCTGCCACCCAAGGGGTGGGCCTGGGGCATCTTCCAAGCTCACAGATGGAATCCCCTTCTCTGCAAGTTTGAGGTCAGTGGCCTGGGGCCAGGAGGCAATGGCGGCTAGGTCCAGCCCAGAGTCGCCCACCCCACCTCCGAGGCCTGCTGGACCTGGGGCAACAGATGGAAGGGCCTGGTCTACCCCTCCAAAAGGCCACCTTGTCCCATTCCTGGACCCCTGTGCAGCCCTCCACCCTAAACCAAAGGCCCTAGGGCCAAGGCTGGAGGGGGCTCTGGTGTCAGGAGGCGCCCCTCCCACTGCCACCCAGTCATCGTGGCGGGGACAGGTAGGGGTTAGGGGGACAGGGCAGGAAAGCTGGGGGTGGACAACCGAAGGACCCTGAGCTCCACTCCATCAGGAGAGGCCCCTCCTGGGC